ACGAGGCCTCCAGCATCTCCACCACCACGCTTTAATGGACAAGACAACGATCCCACAGATGCAGCTCAGCCAGTGCTGCCAGGCTCCCCTTCGTTGCCCCCGTTCCGGAGGGCGCGGGGGCTTGGCACGCTGGACATCGTCCTCGCCAGCACCACCACAGGTCCCCGCCACGCTCTGCCTCCTCCAGCCGATCCCAGCGACCCTCCGACCGCAGCCCCACAGCACCCGAAACGCAGCCGGGTTGTTCCCAGGCAGGGGTAGCGGGGAGCAAAGGGAAGGGTCAGGGCTCCCCAAACGGGCCGGTGGTGCCGCAGGGCCCCGCTGCCCTCAGTCCCGCCGCTGGCTGCCCACCCAGCGCCGAATCTTCGATCCCTGACCCCTCCCCGACTGCAGCCGGTGAAGGAGCCGACTCCCGGCCAACACACAGGGCCCAACTGGGGGCCGGGGGCCAGCATCAATGAGCCCCCAAGCTCTGGGCAGGGGCGGGCTCAGCCGGACTCCCCGTCTCCCCAGCCTGCAGCCTGCGGATGTGCTGATCCAGGAGAGCCGTGAGGTGCACGGAGCCACGCTGGAGCAGGGAGGACGTCTGGGAGGGCAGGAGGGCCAGGGCACCCGCCGTCTGCCCCTGGGAAGCCTCCAGCGAGGGCAGCTTGGCGAAGTTCTCCACTCCCTGCCTGCTCAGGATGGTGTCGTCGATGCAGGCGCCTGGAAGAGAGGAGCAGAGCTGAGGACGGGAGATGGGGTGCCAGAGCCCTTTCGTCTTCCACAGGCGCACAAGGAAAGGCTTGCTCCTGCAGGCAGGACTCCCGTCCCTCGCCATCCATCCCCTCATTTTAACGGACACGACAGCGATCCCGCAGAGGCAGCTCCCTCAGCGTGGGCCCTGCCGGACGGAGCACCTCTCCCCAGCGCCGGAGGAGAGCCCCAAGCCCGGTGCCAGCAGATGGGGACGCAGGGAAGGCTCTCACCCAGGAGGTTGATCTGCGGCACTCCCTTCAGCACCCGCAGCATCTCCTTCGCCTTCGTTTCCGGGCTCACCAGCAGGATATTGCGCGCCACAAAGAGCGGGAGGAGATTCTTGTACTTGGACTGCGACAGCACGGGTCTGACGATCTGGGGGAGACAGCTCTCAAACTGAAGCAGGGGAACACGGAGGCTGCTTTTCACCCCAGCAGGCACCACGCGGTCGTCCCACCTCTCCTCCTCCACCTTTCCCCCGCAACCCCACCGGGATCTGCCCTGGCAGCTCTGCCCCTACCTCGTTCAGGACGAACTTGACCTCAATGTTGTGCTTCCGGAGGTAGTGCCTCATCAGCACCACGTCCTCGTCGGGCATGGAGTTGTACTGACAGACGGCAATCATCCGATTGTCCCGGAACACCTCCTCCACCTGCCGCCGTAACAGCCGGACGTAACCGTCGTCCTGAAGGGAGCGAGCAGCGATGGGCCGCAGGGAAGGGGCGAAGGCTGCTGCCTCCCCCCACTCCCACCCCGCAAACGGACCTACTGCCGTGAGACGACGACGCGGATCGTGAGACGACGGCGCGGATCGGGACTCACCTGGTTTCCACCAGCTGGGGCATCTCCCAGCCACCCACAACGTGACGAAAAGGGGCAGTTAAACACCCCAGAAAGCTCTCGTACAGGTGTCCAGCCAGGCTAACCCCGGGGCAGGGCTGTCCCGGAGGTCCGAAACCACACCCGGTGGGAGCTGCAAACCCCGCGTCAAATCCCCGGAGCAAAGCAGACACACGGGGTGTGCAAAGCCACTCGGACACCGAGGCCCCACAGCCGCACACCAACAACGGCCACACGCCAGAAAAATCACCTCCTCCAGCGTTTCCTTCCTGGGGGCCAGGCAGCGCGGCGGGACGGCCGGCCGCGGGGCGAGGTACTCGGTCACGGCCATCAGCTTCTGGCGCTGGAAGTG